AAATGCAAGTTCTCAGGCCCTGTCCTAGACCAACAGAATCAGAAACTGTGAATGAGGCCCAGCAATCTGTGCTTTAACAAACCTTCAGGTGACTCTGATGCAGGGACAGTGGTTCTCAGCCAGGAGCAATTTTGTTACCTAGGGGACATTTGGAAATGTCTGAAGACGTTTTTAGTTATAAAGGAAGTGCTAATGGTATCCAGAAGGCAGAGGCCAGGGATGCTGTTAAATACTCTACAGTGCAAGGGACAGCCCCCTTCCCACTTCCCAAAAAAGAATTCTGTGTCCCCAAATGTCAATAGTACAGAGATATAGGAACCTTCTTTAGGGGAATGTAATTTTGTTTCATTTACTGTTTACTGAGGATTAGGTCTCAGTTTCTAACTTCCAGAAAATGTTAAGATGCAACAGATTTTTATCAGGTAGAGGTGTAAATTATTTCTGTCTAGTAGAGAAGATAACCTCAAAGATTATGGTTTAATTGCCTTGTAGGATATTATATTCATGTGTACTGTGTAGCAAAATACCCTAATACCTAGTAACATAAAACAATAAGCATTTATTATTACCATGATTTCTGTGAAGCAGGAATTCATTAAGTAGCTTTAATTCTTGGAGAAACAATTTTCATATGCTTTGTAGCAATTTTGTTTTCTGGTGAGTTCTCTGACATCTGTCTAACTGTCCTCTTTTTATCTTCTCATATTCCCTTGGTTTTGGTTTTACCTCTGTTTTAATTTTGAGCTTTTATTCAAAATCTGTGGGAAGTTCCTCTAGGAAAGGAATCAGGGTAGTGTTCAGGCCCCGTCAAATTTCTCTTACGATCCTAGGTTTTGAGTGTGAGTTCAGTTAGTCTTAACATCTTGCTGGGCACTGGCAACTATGGGATTTTCTGGTTTTTTCATCATAAAGATCCTCTGGCATTCTGCTGTCACAGAGGCAGATTGCTTCCAGCAAATACTGCTTGTCAGTGTACCCTGGCTCTCCCGCTTCTCCGAACCAAACAGGCCCGGGAAGCTCCTGCCACCGGCTAACATGTCCTTGTTTCTTCTGTTGTAAACAAGGATTGAGGATTTGCACTTCAGTGTGTGCCCCTTCTCTCTGAGCGGGATATTTGCTGCCGCCTGGGGGGGGTGTGTGTGTGTGTGTGTGTCTGTGTGTGTGTGTGTGTGTCTGTGTCTGTTGAGGCGGAATCTCACTCCAGGCTGGAGTGCAGTGGCATGATCTTTGCTTACTTGCGACCTCCGCCTCCCGGGTTCAAGCGATTCTCCTGCCTCAGCCTCCTGAGTAGCTGGGATTTCAGGTGCGCACTGCCATGCCTAGCTAATTTTTGTATTTTTAGTTTCACCATGTTAACCAGGCTAGTCTTGAACTCCTGGCCTCAAGTGATCCACCTCGGCCTCCCAAAGTGCTGCAATTACATAGGTGAGCCACCGCTCCCGGCCTTGTGTGTATGTTTTAAATACTTGCAGCTACTGAATCCTTCTCTCCCAGAGCGATGTCAGTCCTTGTCCTCCTTCCTGCAAGTCCCTCCGTCCTGCAAGTCTCTGATGCTCTTGACCATCTTTCCTTTGCTGGGCCAGGATTTCAGTTCTCACCAGCTTTTTCTGCAAATTGAAACTGTTTTTTGTTTTTATTCTCATTGATGCTTTTTAAAATGATTTCCGGTAAGAGAAGGAATAATGATTTATTTTCCTCCAACTTTTTAAAAAATCACAAACCTTTATAAAAGTTTAAAAAATAGTACAATGAACTTCTATGTACCCTTTACCTAGAGTCAACATTTTGGTATTTTCCCACATTTCTTTTTTATCTTTCTGCACAAATAGAAACTTTTAAAAAATTTTGACCCTTTGAAAGTTGCAAATATTGATACTCTATCCCTAACTACTTCTCCTAAAAAGAGAGATTCTCCTACATAACCATAAAATTGTTACCACACTGAAGTGAGTTAACATTCATACAATAGTTCAATTAATATATACTCCTTATTTGTTTATTTATTTATTTATGTATTTATTTTGAGACAGAGTCTCACTCTGTCACCCAGGCTGGAGTGCAGTGATGTGATCTTGGCTCACTGCAGCCTCCACCTCCCTGGTTCAAGCTATTCTCCTGCCTCAGCCTCCCAAGTAGTTGGGATTACAGTCGTGCGCTACCACGCCTGGCTAATTTTTGTATTTTTTGCATTTTTTTAGGGGTTTCATCATGTTGGCCAGGCTGGTCTCGAACTCCTGACCTCAAGTGATCTGCCTACCTCAGCCTCCCAAAGTGCTGAGATTACAGGCATGAGGCACTGCACTCGGCCTATACTCCATATTTAAATCTTTCCAGTTGCCCCCGCAAATGCCTGCTTTACTTTTTTCTTTTATTATTTTTTTTAATCCAGACAGTGTCTCGCTCTGTTGCCCAGGCTGGAGTGCAGTGGCACAGTCATAGCTCGTTGCAACGTCGAACTCCTGTGTTTAAGCAGTCTTCCTGCCTCAGCCTTCCAAAGCACTGGGACTATAGGCGTGAGCCACTGCTTTCTTCAGTAATTGACCCAGAATCCAATCAAGGTTTATAACATCGCATTTCACTATTGTGTTTCATTCAATCTTTTTTGACCCAAAATTGCCCTTTCCCTCCTTTATCTGTTCATGATATTTTATTTTTGAGGTGTTCAGGCCAGTTGCCTTGTAGAATGCTCCAAGTAATTCTTTCTTTATGCTCCTGTGGATAAACTGCATGTCACTTAGATTCTGAATGGGCATGAATTCCAACATGATATGCTAGTAACATTTTTAAGACACAAGATAATCATTTTTGTTTGAGGTCTGAGTGCTCTCTAGACTTAGGCCAGCACGTTTTGGATGCAGCCAGGAGGAAGCCATTTCCTGATGAAGGCTTAAAATGCCAAGTAGTTTCCTATACTTACCCACCTTCAATAGCTGTAAAATACATTCCAGTTATCAAGTAAATGCTTTTTATTTTAAAAAGTAGTGTTTGTTTTCCTCCTGTCTCCCTGTAGTAAACTAATAAACTCTTTTAAGAGCCAGCCTTTTAAATATATTTGTGTTGTATCCCATTTACATATACCCAATATATGGATTTTTCTCTAACTTCATTTACATTTTACTCATTTGGTTTCTTAATCTTGCTGGTCTGTTTTCAAAGAGGACAAGACTAGTCAGTATTGCAATCAAACCAGAACTAATCCTACACACACATAGTGCCAGAAATAAGAAAATCTCTTTTGACTATTTTCATTAATACTTCTGTTTAAATCTTTTTTTTTTTTTTTTTTTTAGACAGAGTCTTGCTCTTTCGCCCAGACTGGAGTGCAGTGGCACCATCTCTGCTCAGCTCACGGCAAGCTCTGCCTCCCAGGTTCATGCCATTCTCCTGCCTCAGCCTCTCAAATAGCTGGGACTACAGGTGCGCACCACCACGTTCGGCTAATTTTTTTTTTTTTTTTTTTTTTTTTTAGTATTTTTAGTAGAGACGGGGTTTCACCATGTTAACCAGGATGGTTTTGATCTCCTGACCTTATGATCCACCCACCTCGGCCTCCTAAAGTGCTGGGATTATAGGCGTGAGCCACCTTAAATCTTTTTTTTTAAACAGAAAATTTAGTTAAATATTGAGTTTAGAGCCTCCAAATACACAGCCATATAATATACAGAAAATCTGGGCTCTTAAAACAATTTTAGAGAAGAATCCTGCTTAATTGCAAAATAATAACAACATAAGGTCTTTACAAATACTTTTACATATATTATCTGACCTGATCTTTACCAAAACTCTATGAGGTAGTTGAAGAGGGTGGTGAAATCTCTCTTTTTCAAATGAAGAAATTGAGGCTCAAATAGATGTACCTGACTTGCCCAGGATTCCATGACTATAAGCAGCCAAGATGAGATTTCAATCTGGTTGGGAATTGCGTGCTAAAGGTACACTTTTGTGGTGCAGTTTCACTGAACTGATTTCCTCAGTCATTCTAGAGCTTTATGTATTTTGGCAAAATTAAGATATTTATCTTAGGAATAATTAAGCTTCCTACCATCAATAACAGTTTGACATGCTCTTCTGTAGAAGTCCTGCCTTCTTCATTTTTAAATTGCAAACTCCTCTGTCCATTGTACAGACTTACCATGAAAATCTGGGGACGTTATTGCTTCAGAGGATATCCACTCAACATAAGGGTTCAAATAACCAATCATGGCTTCTCTGGTTTAGGCAGATCTGAGAAAGCATCAGTCAATTCGTAGATGCTCCAATGAAGATGCAATTAAAACATTTAATAAATCCTGCCCTCATACCTCATTTTCATTGTTAAGAGTTTGCTTTTGTTTTTTCTTTCAATTTTCTGGGTGACAGTGATCATCAAACCTACAAAATTAAGGTCTGGAGGAGTCAATTGTGATTGTTCTTTTTGCCCCATCATGGATTTGCCTATTTTGTTTATTTTGCTGATTATGGGAAATTGATAGATTGGAAACATCAGAGTCATTGGTTGTCAGTAAATGATATAATCAAAATTATAAGGCAGTTTTGTCATAGACTTAAATTATTCTTCAGCAAAGTATTAATAGGTAGGGGTGTGTGTGTGTGAGTGTGCGCGTGTGCGTGTATACAGTAAGTCCTCACTTAACATGGTCTGTAGGTTCTTGGCAACAGCAACTTTAAGTCAAATGAAGTGTTGGTCCTCCACAAGGTGATTTCATTCAATTTCCTTTCATTACGTTGATGAGAAAAAAAGTTGGTCTTGTTATAGTTGTTTCAAGACAAACTTCAAGTTGTTAAAGTAGCAGTTTCCAAGAATCTATGGACAGATGAGGACTTACTGTGTATATACACACACAATATACAGGCACATATGTAATTTATATATGTATATACATAGTTATTCTTTTTTATTTTTGACTCGTTACATTTAATATCTTTGTCATAGGAAGGCTGACAATATAAAACTTCCTATGTATGAAAACTCAAAAATAACCAAAGTGGCAAGTGAATAATTCCTTTGAGAAGCAAAAGAACAGTACAATGTTTATTAACACGTTTCTTCCTGAATTTTCTTCCATTTTTTTGAACACACAAAAAGCTTTCCTGTACTTAGATTGCTGTTTTCTGTTTTTAATGTTGTTAACATGAATATTATTGCATTTATGGGTAGTAGTAGATAGTGTAATATACATGAAACCACCATCTAGGGATGACTGCCTTCTGAGTGCTTACAGGTAGTGTGTTCTCTTATTATCCAGCTTAATCACAGCTCCCTCAACTGATAACTTCACTTCATCTGCAGTATTTCCAATCTGTAAATCTGGTTGGCACAAGTTGGTTTTAGCATATTTGGAACCATATTTTAAATCACTGGAACCACTTTGCCTTAATGCCCATGGGCTGTCAGCTCTCAAGGGCCAAGACCAAGTTTTTCTTAGCTTTGTGCATATAGCATGGGACCTGGCTGGAACAGGTACTCAACAATTTTGCTGAGCAGAACTGTCCTCAGTGGAGAAAAGAAAGGAGAAAGGCTTTACTGTAGACTGCCCCAAATACAAACAAATTCCATTTTAAACGGAATATATACACTTTAGCCCCCAAATGCAGACCAGTGCAGCTCTGTGGGGTAGTTTCCGACTAGTCACCTGGTAACAGATTATTCCTGTCATTCACAGGCTCAGTCCCATCTCTATTTTTCAGTATCTTGAATCAAGCTCTCTCTCCTCGAATCATGGAAGAAATAGAACCATAACTAGTTATTTTGGGTAAATGGGAGCTACTTAAAAGATTGATATTTTAAAAGCTTAAATGAAATGTTAATCAAATATGGTTTGTGATTATTTTCTTTCTATGAATATTCTTTAATTGTGGAAGGCCGTTTCTTAGGAAGAGAACAAGGGTTTTCTTTTACAACCGAAAGTTTTTTTGTTTGTTTGTTTTTTCATGAAATTCTTGAGTTTTAAAAAATTGATGGTGGTTTTGCATATCACCTAGTAGCTGATTCAATGGTTTGTTTTTCTGCTAAATGTTAACCTTCAAAACTTGAATTTATTTCTTAATTGCTATTTCTACTTCAGGAATCTTAAGAAAGATGGCTTAACCCAGTCAGAAGGGACAAGCATAATTTTCTTCCATGGCTGTTGTAAGTATTAGGAGAGTTTTCACGACCATGCCATAGCTTCCTAGTGATGCAGAATTGGTAAGACTTGTGTGATATATACATGTGTGACTTGTTACATATCATAGCAACTGTATGGTAGGAACAATGTAAATAGCTTCTCTTGCAGTTGACCATCATTAGAAGAATCACTGCATTCCAGTGTCTGAAGAGCTTCCTTGTCCTCAGGAAAATGTTAAGTCCTGGTCCCATCCAAAAGGCAGACCAAAAAAAAAAAATCCTCTAAATCATCTCCTTGCTAACTGTTCCCCGCCACAGCACACACAAAAGTTTATAAAAGTATTGAAAGGATATTCTCACAAAAAAAGCGAAGTCTGAGTTTACAGAATGAGTATCAAGTACATGCAAAAAAGCTTTCGTTTCACCCGTATATAAATGGCTCTAGAGAAAGATACATGAAAAAAGTACTGACTACATAACACAGTCTTTGTGGCACTTAACTAGGGGTAGGGGAGCAGGAAATAAATAGTTCATAGTTAGGGTCAATTCTCTGTCCCATAGTCCAAACATGGAGATCCCACAGTGTCCCAAGGCAGTGAACATCCAGGTATCTTTCCAGATAACTTCCTGAGAGTCACAGCTTTCTTCAGAGTGTCTCATCTTGCCCTTCCGAAAGCCCACATTATTGCCTTCAGTTTCCGCAGCCTGAAGTCAGCCATCCTGAAACACAAATTGGAACCTATTGCATGGCTGGATCTCATGTAACAAAGTAAGAATGTTCCTAGAAAGCAGTTTTTCAGATGAATTTGAGGGAATATCTGAAATGATCAGTACCTCATAGTCTCAGGATTTAGTGGGAATTAGGAGATCACATAGGTAGCCGGGTGTAGTGGCTCACACCTATAATCCCAGCACTTTGGGAGGCTAAGGTGGGAGGATCACTTGAGACCAGGAGTTCAAGACCAGCCTGGTAAATATAGCAAGACCCCGTCTCTACAAAAAATAAATAAAAACCAGCTGGGTGTGGTGGCATATGCCTGCTGGCCCAGCTACTTAGGAGGCTGAGATGGGAGGATTGCTTGAGCTCAGGAGTTCGAGGCTGTGGTGAGCTATGACTGCACCACTGCAGTCCTACCTAAGGGACAGTGAGAGCTTGTCTCAGAAAAAAAAAAAAAAAAAGAGAGCGAGAGAGAGATCACGTAGTTCACCCAGCACATGAACTCTTGAAGACTCCTATATGGAGTCCAACTAGGATGTTGACCTTAAAGGCTTAAAGGGTGTACCACAAATCATTAGTTCCTCAAAATGATTCTTGTTAAAAGGTTTCCCTTTTAGAAATCCGCAGTGTAAATTGTGCATAAGGGCACTGAGAAAACCTATCAATCTACATATGTATATGTACATATGTATGACTATATATGTATATGACATATATTCACAAACATATTCCATTTTATTTAGTCAGCATTTCCCAACGCTTTTATGATAAATATTTGTTGACTAAATTCAATTTAGTAGAAGATAAAGGAAAATAAAAGAAGTTTAAAGGAAATGCATGTATTCTTACTGCCAAGAGAGTAATCTTGACCTGTTCTGACATGCAGGGGCTCTGTGGTCATTGGTGAGATGAGGTACACTGCCACAGAAAATGTTCATACCCTTATATTTTAAAATGAGTATAAATCCTAGAACTCTGTTGGAGGAAATACACGGATTACAAACACAAGTACCTTTTCTGCGTTCTACAGTTTTTAACTACAGGACTCACAAACATCATCTGATACTAAATAATAAATGTGTAGGTCAGTGCTCCTAATGCCATTTATTGGTCTCGCCTGGCAGAAAAAAAAAAAAAATCTTAAATTTAAAAACTCCTTTGTCTACATATTCAACCCCTGGGTATAATTTTGTCATTTTTTTTTTCCTTCTTGCTTATTCCCTAAACAGGGCAAACATCTCATTTGTTACTGATTTCTATGGGACTGAGACTATATACCATACATATGCATTTCATGCAACAGCATACTTCCTTCATTAATTAGCACAGATGAAATTAAATACTTGGGGTCAGTGAATCATCCCTGTGCTTTAAGAGAGAAAAACATGGCCGGGTGCAATGGCTCACATCTGTAATCCCAGCACTTTGGGAGGATGAGGTAGGTAGAATACCTGAGGTCAGGAGTTCAAGACCAGCCTGGCCAATGTGGTGAAACCCTGTCTCTACTGAAAAAACAAAAACTAGTGGGGCGAGATTGCGCCACTGCACTCTAGCCTGGGTGAAAGAGTGAGACTCTGTCAAAAAAAAAGAGAGATAAGAACACAGAAAGGATAAGAGAGCATTTGAATATAAAAGTTCAATTTCCAGAAAATAAATTTAAATTTTTTTAAAAGCCCAGACACTTGTTTATATTTCCTTATAGAGATTAATGATCAGGAAATCTTACCTATGTGATTGTCTTACACCCAACAGGCTGTGAACTTCTCCTAACTCAGAAGCACAGTTTAAGTAACTTGAACTGTGAGAGGCCAATAGTAGTGAGCTCATGGCCAATTTCACTATTTGTTTAACAAAAGCAGGTTCTCCTCTGAATTCAGAGATGCCCATGAGGTGGGTGCCATCCTGAGCACTCTGGTAGGCATCCTGCCATCAACCTGGAGAAGTTCTTTTTCTGAGATTCCAGGGGCAGCTACAGCACCCATGGAAATAGCCTCTGCAGGCTGAGTTGGTGTACGGGGTGACTAGACAGGGAATCCAGAAAATCTTGCACAATGATTCTTTGCTTTTTTGGATCACATACCCGCATGAGAATCTGTTTAATGCATGGACTCCTCTTCCCAGAAGTGAGCATATGTTCATGTATAATTTTATATAAAGTATAAAGTGCTGTCATGAACCCCCTGAAGTCATTAAATAGACGTCAGGTTAAGAGCTGTTGGCACCAAATCATGATCTTTCTCTTATTCCCATTTATATTCCCAGCTTGAACTGTGCTAGGCCAGTAAAAGAAGTGGGGGGATAGGACTGATACAGTTGCCAAGATGATCAGTGGGGGAAATGTTAAAAATAAAGTGGGTGTTGCAAATCTATAGAGACAGAAAATAAATTAGTTGGCTGCCTAGGGCTGGGGTGAGGTGGGGGAGAGTGACTACTCATGGGTGTAGGATTTCTTTTTGGAATAATGAAAATGTTCTAAAACTAGATTGTAGTGATGGTTGCACAACTTTGTGAGTATGCTAAAAGCATACTGAAAGTATACTAAATTGTATACTTTTAAACGGGTCAGTTTCATGGCATGTGAATTACATCTCAAAGCTGTTTTTAAAAGTGGATGTTATAAGAAACAAAAAAAAGTGTTTTAGCAGAAACTTACAATAAACCTTGTATGACCAGAGATAATGGGTGGCCTCCTTATGCACTGCCTTCAATCAGGAAGGAACTAGGGGGATTTCTGGTTAAAGGTCATTGGAGTTTTTCTCATCATGGAGAGATGTATGGAGAGATGTGTTTAGGTCTCCTGAAGAATGGAATGTGGAGGACCACCCATAAGACTAAAGAGCACTGGCTTGATCCAGTAGGATCTCTGCCTAACCCAATATTCTGTTTATGAGAACGATTCGACAGGGCGGCAATGGCTGTCCTCCATGACATTGCTTTAAACGTTAGGAATATGATGCCAATTTTCTCAAATCCTTTCTCTTAATACACTATAGACTGTTAACTAATAAATTTATCTAACTCCATCTTGAATCAATTTCTATGTCAGCATACTCTAGCAAATTCCATCTGCATCCTACTTTGCTTTGCATGATTTTGCTCACGCAGAGGCAGAGCCTGGTTTAGAGATCCTCAAGGGCCGTGTATCTCTGATTCTTACCACCCCCTTTTCCATGATGCTGTCAAAAGCTTCTTTTGAGTAGAGTCAGAAGTTTCCAATTCTCCTTTATCTAAAAGGCTTTTGCTTCCACTGCCTTTCTTGACTCTGGCCCTGGTTCTAGCTTGGAAAACCAAGCTGATCTGTATTGTGTACTGGTATCTTGGATATATAGTCAGGGGCTTCTGGGGCATCATTTCAGTACGCACACATGACAGCCTTCACTAGGTTTCAGAACTTGATCTGGTTCCATTTTTTACATCATGAAACTGAGATCCAGAAAGAAGAAACATATGTCCAGGGGCACATAGCTAGCCAGTGGCAAGACTAAAAGTGATACATGTCTTCATTCCCAACCATTCTGCTTTCAGAACTACCAGGCTGCCCCCTAGACCCTCTGTCATGCTCATCTCAGCGCTTTCAGCCTCCTTCTTCTGGTTTTCTTTGTGGGTTGACCTAGCACTTACCTCACCATCCTGTCTGGTCTCTTCTCCTTCATCCTGGTCAAGTTCGAACTCCGTGCCCCGGTCTACAACATCCACACCAGCATGCACCCTGGGCTTCTCATTTTCCCATTTGGCAAAGCCTTTGTCCTTTGCCGCTTTGTCATGGAACTTGGATTTCATTTTAGGGAAGGTGTGGGACCCTGAGTCCCCCCAGCCAGCCTCTGACCAGACAGGTTCAGTCTGGGTGGCCTGGCTGGTGGTGGCCCTCTGTAGCCTCACGGAGATCTTGCGAGAAGAGCCTGTAACCAGTGTGATGGCTCTGCTGTCTAAATCCCTGTGTCCAGCAGTGACTCCAGGGAACTCAAACACCTCATCCTGTGCTGGAAGTGAAAGAGGATGGTGATTATTTGACATCTGACTGCTTGATAGCAAAGCATCAAGGATAGTGCAAACAGCACAAGTCTGGCGTGCAAGGTCCTAGAGGAACCGACGAGGAACAGAACTCAATTAGCTGTAGGCAAGCTACATGTTCCTGAGACTGGAAAGCAGAGAGAAGCAAGGATGATTCAAGGGTTTAGCCACTGCTGCTCACCCTAAAGAAGGCCTTAGCATTTAGAGAGACTGACTGGGTTTAGACCCAGAACCTAAATGAGCTCCAAGTGTGAGGAGGCAAGCAGAGAGAGACCATGGCAGCAAAGAAGGCAGAGGGCATTACCTGGGGGCAGCGAGGGGCTTCCAGGCAGTGACCCATGACCACTGCTCAAGGAGGGCGCCCGGGCAAATCTCCTGCAGGCCAGAACCAGGAGGTCTTTGCACTGTTTGTGACAATTGGCTCCACAGTCTGAAAAATTCCAAGGGTGTCGCAGATGATTAGTGTGTCTGATGTTGATTGAGTTTCCAGGGTGGCACTTGATTTTTCAGCCCTCCCCTCCCCAACCCCAGTTTCTGTGTTGAATTTCAGAGTTGAGCTCAGGCCCATGGGGTGTGTCTAGCATCTGGAAAGGGGCCATTGGTCCACACTTGCCTTCCTGAGGTTCCGAAAGTTCTCTTATATTTGCTCAGCTTGATTCTCTATGCAATTGAGGACCTAATGAGCAATTGTGCCTAGGGAGCAAATAGAGTCCAGCCTGAGAGGTCAGTTGCCTTTGCCCAAAACTAAATGCAAATCAAATGGGGTTGAGAGTCTTTCCCAGGCTTAGATGGAATCCCCACAAAGAGAGCCTAAGGTAGGATGAGGGTAAGAAGCCTCAGCTTCTAGCCTCTCCCAGGCCAACTGCTGCCTCTGATCATTTATTGTGAGGAGTTCGTCCATTCAGCACTTGTCTGGACCTTTTTACTCTTCTTCATTTTCCAAAACCTTTCAGGGCCAGTGATTACATCTTCTGCTTCCTTCCTTTGTATAGAAACAGAATACAAGATGGGCAGATGCTCAGTAAATATGTTCTGTATTTGCTTATGCTTTGAAACGGTATGCAGTAGAGTCTGTGAAATTGCCCATTAGGATGTTTTAGATAAGGTAATAGAATGTTAATTACTACTTGGGGTAGAAAAATGTGGCCACTTCAGATGGTGGTTCCCAATTATTTCCTATGGTGAGGGTCCTACACTTCACAGAGAATCACTGAATAGAGATCATCATTTCTCTCCTACCGTCAAAGAGGACCTTTCTAACTATTTCCAATACCCATTTTCCCCTAAGTGATCTTGTTTCCAAAAAGTCTTAATGACATGTTCAATTTATTTTAATTAGTTTTTTCTTCACTTTATATGCCATTAAGAAAATACAAGAGATAATCCAAAGGTATAATATATTTTCATCTTTATAAAATTGTGTGTGTGTGTGTGTGTGTGTGTGTGTGTGTATTTTAGGGTATGAGGATAGAAACCAGAATAAAATGAATGACTCACTGCTGGGCAATAAGTTCTTGCAGTATCTTTGCTGCTTGAAAGTAAAAATCCAAGTTAGACCAAGGCAAGTGATAGAGAAGCACTAATGGGAAGGTACTTCTGAGCATTAAACAGTGGCTTCCATTGAGATTTGGGAAGTTTTTTGTTCATGCAAAATGAGGAGCAAATACTAGAAAATAACTGGAGAAAAAAGGCATGCTAGGGGAACAACATTCATGTGAAGGTATTCTGTGATTAAGATGTTTCTTTTTGAAGTTTTATTATATTTTTCAAAAGCATTGTAAGATTCTTAAAAGAACCATATAAACTGTCCGCATAGTGTCCAGCAACTTCTTAAATAACAATAATGTGTACTTGATCATATATGTACAAGTAGCAACACATTCCTAAATGCTTAATATACATGCATATAGCATTTGTCAAATATATTTTATTCAATTGTTTATAAACTTAATTAAATGGGAAATATAGAGGAATGCATTCACTGAAAAGGACAAAAATACATTTTAAGTTTTCTCCTTGTTTTCTGTTACCATCTATGTGATTTAGTAGAGAAAAGAATAGCTAAGTGTGAGTGGGAAGAAGTGCCTATGGATTATAGAAATAGTAAGTAGTGTTTTTCTTTGAAGGAAAAATTTCTTATATACAGTATTTTAGCTAGGCTTGTCCCACTCAGAATTCCCACCTTAACTGGATGCCTCTGATTCAAAAGAACTAGATTTATGTGTGTTGATAAGAGTGGTTTCTAACAAGCTATAAAATTCCAATTTTAGCTCTCCAAAACTCCAGGAACTCCTCTTCAGAGGCAATCATTCTCAGTTGCCGTTGACCCAAAAGACTGAAATTCTGAATAATGTCAAGAGCTTTTGTAGTTTAACCAAATTTGATTCTTAACCAAAATGTCACATTTTAAAAATTTTAACAAAATAACATTGATTTACCTTTGCATTTGTATCCTTGCTTGATTATGCCCCAGAGCTGTAACAAAAGACAAAGGAATGTCAGGGAATCTGAGGATAGATCTGGAAGGAAAACAAGGCCACTGAGAGGGAAGTCCTGGGAAGCTTCATGACTAGCCAGGCACAAACAGGATGTAGCCACTCTTAACACCCTTCCTGCCAGATAGAAGAACCCTCTCTGGGCCCCTTCCAGCTATGGTGATAACATGAGTTTCATTTCCCTTTTCTTTCTTGGAGCCAACTGGGAGCCGGGATGGGAAACTACTAAAGTTTGATGCACCAGACTTTGGCCTGATGCGTTTTTAGCAAAATGTACAGAGGAGATGGCCACTTGGTCTTTGGGAGCCCCTGGCTCCCTCTTTTTAATGACACTAGCTGCTCTTGGTACCCACTACAGGAAATGAAGCAATGGAAGAAGCACGCCTCACATGAAAGCATTTGGATTTTCCTAGGTTATTTTCTGAGTAATATTTGTCCCATGGAAAAATACAGAAGAGGAAATGATCTTAGTTATTCATGTCTTCATTCTCCGCATTTGCTCTATGTTTGGCCTGTGCCAGGGCTGTAGGAGATGTCGAAAAAGCTCAGATTCTACCAACCAAGGAGTCTGTGACTTCCTTGTGGTTAACAAGTAGGAAGTGACAAATCCCTGAGGCGAGATGTGAGGGCCCACAGTTCCACAAGGGAGCATTTGCCCGGGGGGTTCAGGGGCAACATTCTGGTGGTGGTGTCTTCGCTCTCTAGACAGACTCCTAAACACCATAAAGAAGAGGGCCTTGCCATGCCCTTCTGTGCCTCCCCACAGATCTTGCACGGGGTGACAGATTCACCAGAGGTGTACAGTATGCGTAATTAAATGGGCTTAGCTCAAGTTGGAGAAGAACTATTGCTAACCTTTACATGTTTGGGTTAGGTGGCTCTTATCTACTTAATAAAATAATGTTGAAAAAAGCAGGGCCCACTGGGACTGATGGGGGTGCCGTTCACAATGTTCACAGTGTATTATAAACGAACAATGCCCCCACGTGTGGGCAGCATGGCCCACTCTTGCAGAAGAGTAAGTCACAGCCAATGTGAAGTGACTCAAGAGTACAGGAAAAATCCTTACTTCTTGACAAGGAACTTCCGCAAGTAGAAAACTAAAATTCCTTTGAGCCTTAACAGCTATTTGGTCCTTCAGAATACATATTAAAATGCAAATGTCGGCCAGGTGTGGTGGCTCATGCCTGTAATCCCAGCACTTTGGGAGGCCGAGGCAGGTGGATCATGAGGTCAAGAGATCAAGACCATCCTCACCAACATGGTGAAACCCCATCTCTACTAAAAATACAAAAATTAGCTGGGCATGGTGGTGCATGCCTGTAGTCCCAGCTACTCAGGAGACTGAGGCAGGAGAATCGCTTGAACCCGGGAGGTAGAGGTGGCAGTGAGCCAATATCCACTGCACTCCAGCCTGGCGACAGAGAGAGATTCTATCTCAAAGAAAAAAATAATAATAAATAAAATGCAAATATCTCCTAGGACACAGCAATATTTTGTCTTGGGGACAGGAAGGATTATTTGACAACTAAGTAGAAGCAAGGATGGCTGGAAGACAGAGGGGCATGATCCAGAAAAGGGCAGTGGTGGCCAGGATCATCACAGCTTGATCTTTACGATAATCTAGTTTGCTTCTCTTTTGTAAAAGGTGAATGTGATGATCCAGGAAGTTAGATAATTTCCAATCTCCCACAACCTGGAAATTCTTTCTCCAGAGCCCTTGGTAATGATAATAGCAATCATAATGATGATAGCTAACATTTCTTGAACTCTTGCTATGTGAGAGGCACAGTTTTAGGGTCTTTATACATATTAGCTTGTTTAATTGCTCATGATGTCCTTATGATATAGGTAATAATATTTTTCTCATTTTTACAGACAAGGAGACTGACCTGCAGAGAGGTAAAGTCCATTGGCAAGGTCTCATAGCTAGTAAGGGAGAGAAGAATGTGTCACTTGAGGGAAAGACAGGAAGCCATTGCTCCTGCATACTCTGTGTGTGAGCAAAGGCACTGAGGTGGGACAAGAAAGGATAAGATTTAAGAAGAGACATCCTAATATCCAGATATGTTACATTATTGCATTGCTGCAGGAACTGCTGAAAAACATACAGTCAAGCAAGAGTGCTGGGGGTGGGGGTGAGGAGGTAGGTTTGCTCATGCTTACTTAATAGCCAGGAACAAACAGTAGCTAGGAAGAGGCACTGGGCCACTGTGCCTGCCAAGAACAGGAGAGGATGAACTCATGTGGATGGGCATGCGGGAGTATTTCCCACAGTCCTTGGATTTGAGACCACCGGCCGCTGTCATATTTGGAGTAATTGTGGTGTAAGGAGCACTGGACTGAGAGTCAGGAGACCAGGGTGTGACTCATGGTTTTGCTGCTAATGATCTGTGAGACCTTGGGGGAAGTCACTTAACTTCTCCAGACCTCAGTTTCTTCATCTACAAAATAAGGGAATTACTAACACTCTTTCAGTTCTGGGATTCCAATTCTAAAATAAATCTTCTGCAGAGCAAGTCTGTTTGTCTTCCTTAACCTTAAAATGGAATTTATTTTAAAAGCAGATGGTTCTGGCACTGGAACCATTCTCCCACAATTCCTTTCAATGACACATCTATAGAGCTATAGTTATAAATTCCTTTGAAAACCAATGGACTTTCTAACATGAGTGTCAGTGAAGATCAAATCAAATCATATCAATAAAATTAAATATATTTTAAAAACAAAAACAGCTGTAAAAATTTTAAATGAGTTAATTTCAATTAAACTCTCAAAGTATCAAGGAATACATAAAAAATGTGTACTCCAAGCCATGTGACGTGCAACGTGTCTAATAGTATTTTATCATGCAACAACATGGTGGGTAAGTATTTACAGATAGAAATAGACCCAAAGATGGTGAATGACTTGGTCAAGGACATAGAGTTAGCAAAGGCAAAACAGAAATTTAACCCAGGGTTCCAGACTCCAGGTCCAGAGCTTTCTACTTCATCACAGCTGCATCAAGAATACAGCACCAGCATCTCTGCTCCAATGAGTCAGGGGGACAGGTGTGGAACTTCCAAGAAAGTCTACCTTGCTGCTCCCACAGAACCAGGGCCTCTGTAAAAGGGAGAAACAGGACAGAAGGACTCGAGAGCAGAGATAAGACCTTGAGTTTGTTTGTTTGTTTTTTGAGATGGAGTCTTGCTCTGTTGCCCAGGCTGAAGTACAGTGGCATGATCTCGGCTCACTGCAAGCTCCACCTCCCGGGTTCACGCCATTCTCCTGCCTCAGTCTCCTGAGTAGCTGGGACTACAAGCACCCGCCACCACACCTACCTAATTTTTTATATTTTTAGTAGACATGGAGTTTCACTATGTTAGCCAGGATGGTCTCCATCTCCTGATCTCATGATCTACCCGCCTCAGCCTCCCAAAGTGCTGGGATTATAGGCGTGAGCCACCACGCCTTTCCGAGTTTTTATTATTATTATTATTATATTTAGAGATGGCAGCGGTGGGGGTCTCTTTATATTGCCCAGGCTGGAGTCAAACTCTTGGGCTCAAGCTATCCCCCTGCCTCAACCTCCCGAGCACCTGGGACTACAGGTCCATGCCAAAGCACCCGGGACCTTGAGATTTGGTAAGGGCCTTCTGACTCTCTCAGCCCACCAAAAGACAGATGCATCATCCTGACTTTTGGCTGAGCCATGCCATGGCCCAGCAGCCTGATCTTTTGTTCACTGGGTCCCACTGTGTAGGAGTGTGTTACACACGGCCCCATCCCACATCAGAACTTTCAGGTCTAAGTACTTCCAAAGATTTCCATCAGAATAGAGAAACTAGAGAAACATGAAAAAGGAGATCATTTTGTTTTGTTTTGTTTTGAGACTGAGTCTTGCTCTGTCGCCTAGGCTGGAGTGCAGTAGCACGATCTTGGCTCACTGCAACCTCCGCCTCCCAGGTTCAAGTGATTCTCCTGCCTCAGCCTCCTGAGTAGCTAGGATTACAGGCACCTGCCACCATGCCCTGCTAATTTTTGTATTTCTGGTAGAGATGGGTTTTCCTCATGTTGTCCAGGTTGGTCTCAAACTCCAGACCTCAGGTGATCCTCTGCCTTGGCCTTTCAAAGTGCTGGGATTACATGCGTGAGCCAATGCGCCTGGCCAACCATTTGTTTTATGATAAAATGGTCTGGTCATGCAATCCCAGTGGAGATACTAAAGAACAACTTCACCTTCTCTGCAGTGAATAAAGAGAACTAGTTAGACGGGCTTTGCCCTGTGTCACATCAGCTGCTATGACCACCTGGGACCATCTTTGAGGTAATGGCTGCCTCTTATTTACCCATTCTCAGAGGAGTGTGTGCTTGAACACAGACTCCTGCATTTGGCCCCCCAAAGCCAGTTCTTTGAGCCTGGGATGGGAAAAATGTAATTTCTGGTAGTGTATAATATTGGCAACAAATTCAATATAGGTGAACAAGTCAACAGGAGGACATGGCTGCCAAATAAAGCTGACACGACCGAGCTCTGGCATCTAGAAAAAGGGGTGACTGTCACCGGGCGTGGTTGCTCACTCCTGTAATCCCAGCACTTTGGGAGGCCGAGGCAGGGGGATCACAAGGTCAGGAGATGGAGACCATCCTGGCTAACACGGTGAAACCCCGTCTCTACTAAAAACACAAAAAATTAGCTGGGTATGGTGGTGGGCGCCCGTAGTCCCAGCTACTCGGGAGGCTGAGGCAGGAGAATAGCGTGAACCCAGGAGGCGGAGTTTGCAGTGGGCCAAGATTGTGCCACTGCACTCCAGTCTGGGCGACAGAGCAAGACTCCATCTCAAAAAATTAAAATTAAAAAAAAGAAAAGAAAGAAAAAGGAGTGATTGTCATACTCATCTGGGTGCTGGGCCTCCCTCACCTGGAATACCGCATTTTCCATTGTATTTAACTTGGATATCAACTGGAAGACATTCAGGGCCCAAGAGTTTCTGTTAAGGCCAGGATCAAAAACTGACTTCACTTCCCAAAGAATTATCAAAAGTAGGGGAAGGAAGCGTGCAGTCTTCATTTGTTGCAGTGGTGTAGGTGAAGCACAGGGCTGACAGTCAGTACACCTGTGTCGGAGTCCAAGCTCCGGTAATGATTAGCTGTGCAATCCTCAGGAACCTGGGTTATCCTCTCTGAACCTCTCTATCTTCATAAGCAAGATGGTGAAAGTAAAATACCCACTTCAAGGGCTTGCTATGAGGATTAGTTACCATAATGTCTATGGAAGTACTTTGTTACCATCAAGCATTCAGTAAATGTTATTTATTATTATAACCAGCTTCTCTCCAAAAAGATTTTTTCTTCTTTTTGAGTTGTGAATTATTGAACCATGCCATGATGGATTTCTGGTCACTAATAACACATGAAATGAAAACTGGAAGGAACTCGCTAAGATAAATGCACCTCTTAATTGCAACCACTTATGAATATTAGTGATAATGCCAGGGCTCATTGGGCTGACACTTTTCCCTGGCAGGGATTAATAAACAAACCCACTCTCTTGAGTTAACAGCCAACCTTCCCTGTTTTTGCTGGCCCTGCATTCCTAGAAAATAACAAAACCTTGCCTTTGGTGTTTAATCTTTAATTTCAGGGAGGCATCACGTTTTACTTCTGATTCAAAGCAGACAGCGAACTTTATTTGGTGTATCATTTTCCTACCCTTTCAGAATGCCACGCAAATAACTACTTACGTAAGAAAACAACGAAAAACAGACTTACGAATCCTGCACAGTGTTCGCAGAAGGTTGGTTTGAGATAGGTCATCTCCTGAAAATTATGGATAAATCCTGGTCCCATTTTACAGTGTAGTTGGGATTTCGCTCTCAGGAAGTAAGCCATCATTTCATCTTTACTAATTAGGCCATCCCTGTTAAGAGAATCCAAGAAGGGAGGGATCTTTGAATATCAGGTTGCTACGTAGTCGCCACACTTTAATCACCCACCTCCCAAACCTTTGTGGCCAAAAGCAGATGAGGAATATTCACTTCTCTATTACATCTCAGAGAAAGGGCGAACCTCAAAAGGCATCTTCAGGTGTTCAACGCCTTTTTCAGTGAGCAGAAAATTGTGTATGTGTGCACCCTGCATGTGTGTGTGTGTGTGCAGGAGCATATTCATGTAAGCACACGTGTGGCCTGTGCACCACGGCACACAAAGTCTTTATTATGAAAAGCAGCTTCCTGAAGGACATCTTTCTAGTCCTTGCCTAGCTGTAAGGTTGCGAGAATTAGGATGATGGAGAAAGGCAGAAAACTGTAATAACTGAGCTGACCATTCTCAAATTCATTCAGCTTGACCCTGTCCGGGCTCCTTGGTGATATTTTCACTCACAGCTTAGTGGCACATAGCCCATTCACTGTGACTGGCTGGGAGCAATTCTTCCAGATCTACTCCACACAGAACAAACCTCTGGTTCTTCCCACCTTCCTACCCCTACTCACCACATACCCTGACTTCTTGTTTATCAAAAATGATCCAGTTGGCCAGGTGCAGTGGCTCATGGCACTTTGGGAGATAATGGTAATCCTAGCACTTTGGGGGGCCAAGGTGGGTGGATCACTTGAGGTCAGGAGTTCAAGGCCAGCCTGACCAACATGGTGAGACCCCTGTCTCTACTAAAAACACAAAAATTAGGTGGGCATGGTGACATGTGCCTGTAATCCCAGCAACTCAGGAGACTGAGGCACGGAGGCAGAGATTGCAGTGAGCTGAGATCACACCACTGCACTCCAGCCTGGGCAATAGAGCGAGACTCTTTCTCAAAAAAATAAATAAATAAATAAATAATAATAATAATAATAATTGGATCCACTTGACACAGGTGGGCTCCATATTGCTTTTTGTCCATTAGCAGGTGCTGGCGATCACACCTTTCCTTTCCGGTTCAGAATTCTTTTCTACCTCCTCTGTCCTCTCTTGGGGCTCCTCTCTCAGAGGAAATGTTGCCCCATCCAGCACTCTCCAGCCTCCCCGGGACTCTCCTCCTTCCAGGTTATGCTCAGTCTCTTTCCGTTTCTTCCCCCGTTCACAAATGCTCAGGACTTTCCCACCTGAAAAATCCCCTTCCTCAGTCCTGCCACCATCTCCAACAGGTGTCTTTTCTCTCTTCCTTCTTTTACTGCCAAAGTTTCAAAAAGAGAAATCATTAGGCTCTTTTATCATTTCCTCCAGGTACTCTTTATGCCACTTGGGTTTCTAACCCTACAAATCTGTCACCAAGAACATCCTCAGTGGCCTTTTCTCATTGGCAGGAGGTAACACGGAGACATATTTCCTTCTTTCGGCGCTCTCCCCTTAGGCACCCTGGAATTGCATGCCACCCCGCTTCTCCTCCTTCCTCTCCAGCTCCCCCTTCTCCAGCTCGCTGCAGGGCCCTCTGACTCCTTTCAATGCCTGCATGTAGGAGGGGAGTCCCTGAAGGCTCATTCCTCAGGCCCCAAGCTCACCTCCCTCTAAGCGTTCCCACCAGAGTTTGCTCACAAGATCGCGACTCCAGCTTACAGTGGGGCTGAAGACTTCATCTCCATCCCCAGCCCTGACTATTGTCCTGAATTTTTGCACCACATCTTCAACAACTTGCTAGACCTCTCTGCCTGATAATCCACTCTCTGTCTCAATCAATGGTTGTAAGTCCAACTTCATCTCTTTCTTCCCTGTACTCCCTGCCCAGGCTTCCCTATTGCTATTTGCTGTGCCACAATTTTCCCCCAGGCTTGAGAATTTGAGATCCCTTTCTTACCTCCTATGCAAAATAACTTTGATTTTTGTACATTATAAGTATTATTATTAAAGTTATTTTGCGTAGGAGGTTAAAAATAAAAGGATTCTAAATTCTCAAGCCTACTGAGAAATTATGGCACAGCCTAGCACCCAACAGTTATTTTTTCTGCTCCTCTGACCATCCATCCACCATCAAGGAGGCACCAGTGTCTATTATTCCCTTCTTTGTGTTCTTGAGTTCTCATCATTTAGTTCCCGCATAGGAGTGAGAACATGTGGTATTTGGTTTTCTGTCCTGCATTTAGTTTGGCTAGGGGTAATTGGCATCCACTTCCATCCACTGTTCCTGCAAAAGACATG